CGAAACGCGTCAGCCAGTTGCGCAGGGCAAAGGCTTGACTTTCTGTCCCCAACAACACCGAAGAAGAAGAACATTCGGCCCATCGTGTGTCTTTGGAAGAGCGATCCCTTGAGTCCCTTTTTCCCCCATATCCTTAACACCACATAAATAGAGTAAATGTAGAACCAGGTGCAGTTTAGCACAGCACCAGTTGAGAAACAATCCGTTGATTCAGCATTTTGTCCCTCGCCCCCTTTCAGCTGTCTTCCTCTCTCCACCCCACCTCCCCACCCCCCCCCCCCCCCCCCCCAGACATCAGTGTCGAGGGTTTTGAGACGTCCTCCCGATGTGAAAGGCCGCTATGTAAATTTATTATATTGTGATTTGGCAGTCAGCGCTGTTTAAGTTATCTCAGTTTACAAAAAAAACAAGACCAGACTTTCCACAATTCAGTGCGGTCGTAAATGTTCAGAGTAAGATATGCAGACTTACAGAGAGGGCTAAAACTATAATAATAATAATAATACTTACCGACTGCATTGAACCGCGGCAAATTAACTTGTACTAATCCTTGCATTTGACGGAGTACCTTATCACCTCTTTTGACACCTCAAAGCGCTTCACAGAACATACGGTAAAGTGGATTGATTCACTGTGTATTTTATGGGCGAAGCGCAGGAGCCAATTGGGCACAGAAGGGTCCCGCAAACAGCCGTGGATTGAGTGACCAAATTTATTATTTTTTTTGTAGGATTATTACCCCCCGGGGGAAAGCGATCCGCCAATCGACTAACAACCCTACTGCTTACTGCTTACTGCTAGATAAACAGAGGCGTGTGGCGTAAAGAAACTTGCCTAAGGTTTCGTCCTGCCCAGGAATCGAACTCGGGTCCTGTCACTCGCGAGTCGAGTGCTCTATCCGCTGCACGGGATGGGGGGGGGGAAGAGAGAAAAGGCAGAGAGCTGTTCTTGGCATTATCACATATCGTAACAGTTTTATATTTGTGTCCATGTTTCCTGTGTTAGTAATTTGGCTGCCTGATGTATATGTGTATATATATATGTATATCATATATGTGTGTGTGTCGCGGTGTCGCTCATCCAGCTGTCCTGTGCAGTCAGACACACGGCAGTAATCATTTGCAACGAAAGCTCATTTACAGCAAATTCCGCCCAACTGAATGGCAGCCGTGTGAATATTTAATTTCGGCAAAGACTAATTTTATCTCCTCCGCAAGGCAATTCCTGTTAATCGAAAGCCTTAAAAACCGCTGCATATTTTGGAAAGTTCGACACCACACTCTCGCTCGCTCCCTCCCACGTCCCCCCTTTTTTTTTTGGAGTCCCGTAGCTCAGTGGTTAGAGCGCTCGCCTCGCGAGCCAGAGGCACCCGGGTTCGATTCCCGGGCAGGAGCGAAACCTTTGCCAAGTTTCCTTACTGCACACACACACGCGCGCGCGCGAGTGCACGCGCCTCTGTTTGCCCAGCAATAAGTAGGAACCCGGTTGTTAGTCAATTGGCGGATGGCTTTCTGGGGGGGGTTAATAATCCCTTAAAAAAAATAATGATAATAATTTGGTCACTCGATCCACGACTGTTTGTGGGGACGCTGCTGTGCGCAGTTGGCTGCCGCGTTTCACCCGCAGCATCCGCAGGCAATTCACTGTCGTTGAAGCGCTTCGAGACGTCTTGTTGACGTGTCTACCTGGATGAGAGCCAACCTCCTACAGCTGAATGCCAGCAAGGCCGAGGCCCTTCCGGTTTGGCTCGCGCCAACGGCTCCGCACCTCCGGCACTGGCAGCATCAGCCGCGCCACGGTTGCACGCTCCCACCTCACCTCACCAAGTCGGTCAGGAACCGCCAATTTGCCCACAGCCACTCCCCTCCTCGGTCCAGCGTCCCGGGCGAAAGGACCGCGGCGAACTTCGTCCGCTGACTGAGCCGTGTTCCCGAGGCGAAAGGCGGTGTGACAGATGCGAATGTTTTCATTATAATTACGAGGCAATGCTGCCGGGCTCTTCTCTCCCAAGCCCCGATCTAAACGATTCCACTGATAAACAAAGCCATGCTTCCAAGACCCAGACATCATTAGACGAATGTTCCTCAAATCACATGGTCGATTGACTCATGTACTCCATTTAAGAGGCATGTGAAACACATGCTTAATGTGCAGAGGGATTCGGCGGCAGCCCAGAAGGAGGTTTTATTGTTGCAATAACACGAGCGCGCAATAACTGTACCAGAGCTTTTTTTTTCTTCTCTCTCGCTGTCGACCGTGCTTCGCAGTGCCACCGCACGGAGCGCTTCGGGGCGCACCCTGACGATGCGATCCAGCGCCGGGTAAAAATAATGCTAACGTCGTCCTCGCATTTGACACGGCGCCTGATCGCGTCTTCGAGACGTCTCAAAACGCTTCACGGAAGGTACTGTAAAGCGGATCGGCTGTACGCTTGCGGGCGGACTGCGCACAGCAGCGTCTCGCACAAACAGTCGTGGATTGAAATGACCAATGGTGTTTTTTCTTGAGGGATTACTATCAGGCGTGTGGAGTAAGGAAACTTGAGCACGGTTTCGTCCTGCCGGGAAATCCAACCCAGGTCTCGCGCTCGCGAGGCGAGTGCTCTAACCGCTGAGCTACAGGACTCCTGTGTTCGCCCACTGACGCTGTGTTTTCCAAGCGCGTGTTGATTATTTCTGCAACGTCCACATTGTAAAATACAGACCGATCGAAGTGCTCTAATTGGGGAGGGGTGTTGTTATTAGCGTGGGGGGCAAACCAGGGTATAACTCTGCAGCAGGCAACCTATTCCATTCCAGTCGTTAATTATCCTTCTGAGTAAAGGGAAAAACTTCCCGGTGTCTGTCCTGAAACGGCCGTAAACCTTGGTCCGCTTGTTCTACTGTCGTGATAACATCTTCACGTATTGATCTGGGTTTACAACTCTGTTGTAATAAATAACGGCATTATAATAAATAAGAGGCGATCTGTATTTACCTGTAATTTATAACGCTGTGCTCTAATAACTAACGCTGATTTGCTGATCTGTGAGGTTGTATTCAAGAGGGTATTCAAAGGTATTCAGTGCACCTAAAGCCACGAGACCTCACAAAGCCCGGCCGACAATAATTAAAGTCAGTTAAAGTAGTGACCGTTTTATTCTGTGGGGAAACCCTGTTCACAACGTGATCCGATGTGAAACAGCCATGGAAGGGACTGACCATTTTGTGTTGGAGGTGGTAAGGGAGAGAGAGTGGCGGGAGGGGGCAAAGGATGGGTACCCGTTATAATAATAACAATCCTTGCATTTGATTATAGCGCCTCATCGCGTCGTTGAGACGTCTCAAAGCGCTTCACAGAATGTACCTTTTTTTTAAAGGATTATTAACGCCCCCACAAACAGCCGTGGGTTTGAAGCGACCAGGAATCCCTCTCAGCTTTCTTCTCACCTGTGATGTATGATCTAATATATATAATGTATCATCCTGTGGACAAACCCGCATCGTAAGGGGGCTTCTGTTGTATTCAGATTAGTATTACTAACAGACAGCAGGGAGCCTGGGGATCATTAATAAAAGGATCAAATTAGTGACGAGCCATAAGGAATTCAATGGGTAATTATCACATTAAACGAACAATAATCGCGTCAACCGTGTTATGTTCCGTAAACCTCAGAGCTGCTCAAAACTGATAGCTTTGACCCAGAATTCCACTCTTTCTTAGCCTGAAAGTCCATCTGCAAAAAAATATATATAATATAATGGATACGACGCCTCTTATGTAGGAAGGACATCTCAAAGTGCTTCGAAGCCCCGTAGTGTGTTGGTGAGCGCTCTCGCCACGCAATTTTCGCCCACAAAATACACATTCAACAGTATATGCTGCGAAGCACTTTGAGACGTCTCAATGACGTGATACGGCGCTATATCAAATGCAAGGATTGTCGTCGTTATTATTATTAAATGCCATGTAAGCGGAATAAATCTCGACTCTCGACGGGTTTCTCCCTGTGTTTTGTCTGTGTCGACTCCAGACTTGGGGGGAAGATTTTAAACTCAAGTTTAGAAGCGGGGAGAGAGAGAAAGAGAAGGGAGAGGAGGGGATAATTTCTCCGCCATTGGCATTTCTGTGTTGGCTGATACTCGGAGCTGGGTGTCAGCTGTGTGCGCCTGAGGAGCTGGTGGGGTGGTGGTGGGGGTTCTTCAGAGATAGGACCATGTATGAGAAAGCGATAGAGTTTCTCTTTCTTGCTGAGCGAAGAGGTTTTGTGTTTGTCAAGGAAGGAAAATTCATGGGAGGGACAGGTGGTCAGTTGCTCGCTCGCTCGCTCGCTCGCTCTCGCTCGTCCTGTAGGCCGCTGAGTGAAAAGGGAGTCATGTCTCTCTCTTGGGGGGCTGCGTGCGGTGGGCAACCTGTCACAGCACGTCAGCCAAGCCGGGCAACAGAGCCACGGCTGTTCATGTCCTCCTTTACGGTCCAACAAATGGTGCCGAGTTTCCCCCCGAGAGACCGGCTCAGAGAGGTCGACCCCAACAGCTGTTCTTCCGAAGGGAATGATGGTGATGGACGGTGGGTGGGGGAGGTGGTGGGGAGGGTGGAGAGTGTGTATGTGTAGGGAGGGGGGGGGGGAGAGGAGGAGTGGGATGTTGGCAGAGATGAGCAGGATCCCCCCAGATATCAGGTTGTTTTTTGTCCTGTTCCTGGTATTTTTCTTTGCAATCTGTGGTTATAAGAGGGAGAGAGAGAGAGAGAGCGCATTCCATTCCGACAGTCCATCTCTGGGATTTCCATGGGTAAGTGGGATGCACGGGACACTCAGCTTGGTTTGGAGACTCTTAAACAACCGTGATGGGTTTCCGCACGTGTCAGACATCCGGCTGGACCCCCCACCCCCCCCCCCCACCACCACCACCAAAACAAAAAGGCTCGAGGGCGTGATCAGGCGCTGTATCGACCACAAAGGATAATTACTATTGAGCGACTGAGTTTCAATTCGCGGTTCCCGCCAACCGAGGGCAGAGAGAGAGAGAGAGAGAGAGAAAATAAAAGGTCTGACAAACTGCTCGACCCTTGACGTCGCTTCCGTTTTACCAGACCCCAGGTCACGGGACCGTTCTGTGAACGAACAAGACCCTTTGCCTCTCCTCTCTGCCCCGGGCTCTCGCTTGACCGCGCGTTCAGCCACGGAATTAACACGACAACGCAGTGGGCGCCTGCGGAAAAGAATTGGGGAAGAAATTGCGCGTGGGCTGGGATGCCGCTAGTATTAACCTAAACCTTCCGAAGCATCCAAAATACACAAAAGTCAATTCACTTTTCGTTTCTGTGAAGCCCCTGTGTAGGTTCCTGGTTGAGGCCCATTAAGTTGACCTCTTTGGGGAACCAGTTGGATGTCAATTCAGAAATCGCTTGCCTCAGGCTGAGAGGGGGAGGGAACGTTCCACCAGGTTAACTCGTCTTTGAAGGTCAGAGAGACGTTATTTCACTGGTTTAACCCACAACGTTCAGAGAGGTCAGTCTTAAAATTTCACAGCGCGCGTGTGAGAGAGAGTGAGTGAGAGAGAGAGAGAGAGAGAAAGAGAAAGAGAGCAGATCCGAGCTCCTCGGAAACCCACAACCGCATGTGCTTAAGACTAATTTAAGAGGGAGGAAGCTTGTTTATTTTTAGACGTCTAGTTATTTTCTTTGCTGGAGATATCAGTTTTACTTTGTCGATCTTGTCGTTTCTCTCAGGACAGAAGTCTGGGGCCTCTCTTTTTTTTTTAAAAACAAAAAAAGCGGCGCGTTAGCCCCGGAATTCCAACTAGTCCCAGCCTGTGAGCCGCTCCAGCGGAGGGCTTTTAAGATCGGCCCAGGGTTGGGGAGAATTCTCGTTCGGAAAAAAGGGCTTCCGAGTTCTGACTGAACTTGAGAATTTTCCACTCGGCCCAAAGCAGTGTTTGGGCGGCCACGGGGCGCGCGTCACGGCGAAATCCCTTTCGCGCGTCCCGAGGGCGTCTCGAGGACGCGATGAGGCGTCGTCACGAGCCACGACCTGACGGCTTGCGGTTTCGTACGATGATCCCAGCGATCCGTGCATTTGGTCCCGGGCGCCTTGACAGCGTCGTCGAGGCGTCTCGAAAGCGCTTGACGGGAAGTACGCCGCAAAGTCGATTGACTGCACGTTTTGTGGGTGAAACGCGGCAGCCGATCGCACCACAAGCGCCTCGGGAACTCCCCTTGTATTTGACCGAGCGCCTTTTCGCGTCGAGGAGACGTCACGGAACCCGACGGCGTGTTTTGAGAGCGAAATCCGGGGCGATTGTCGGCCAGGACACCGGGAGAGAGAAACTCCCTCTTGTCTTTTCCAACCGCGCCGTGGGATCTTTTAACGTCCAACCTGCCCACTGAGGAGGGAGGGGCCCCTCGGCTTAACGTCTCTTCTTCCAAAGGACTGGACGAAGAAGTGAAGAGTTAGCGAGGGGCTGAATCGGGGGGGATGTGGGTCCGAGCTTTGCCGGTGTTGGAACAGCTGCATGTTTAAACATTCATCACGTTGCCTCAGCCCATCATCGTATCTCACTCGAGCGGTTGTGGGCCGAGCGAGAGGGGGGGAATTGAGTGCAGCTGCAGGCATCCCCCCCCTCCCACCACCCCCCGGGTCTTCTCTCCTCCTTCCTCTCCTCTTTTCAGCTTAGTTTGCTTTACGTCTCGTCAGCAAACCCTGACGGCAAAACCCGCCCCCAGGGCGGAGAGTGTTTTATCGCAGATAAAAAAAAATTGCCGCTTACTTCGTGGCTGTTCTGCGGGACGTCACCGGGCGCAAAAACGGGTGACTGCATCCGCCATACATCCCGGCAAAATCCCTCGAAGCGCTTTGAGACGTCTCCGTTCGAACCTTTGATGGTCTCGCTCCTCTGCGAACTATTAAAACTTTGCCAATCCGTCCCCTCCCTCCGCTCGGCGGGCACTGCCCTGCTCCACGTTCTCCCCCCCCACACCCCACCCTGCCCTACCCGCTCCACCATCGGCGGTCAGGCCTTCAGCCCTTTCTGCCCCCACCCTCTGGGACTCCTTCCCACCTTGACTCCCCTTCCCGGTCTCAGGACCCGTCTTCTTCGACCGTGCCTTCGGTCGGTCTCCCAACCCCAGCCCACTCTGATCCCGACCCGCAGCTCGGGTCCAACGTCAACAACAATAACTTGCATTTACATAGCGCTCAATCACACAGGGTAGAGTCCCAGAGCGATGGCTCAGCTCAGAGCTGGACGGCTTATTGTCCAGCGCCTTGAGAGATCCTCCCGACGTGAAAGGCGTTACGTAACTAAGTGAAGCTTGTTGCTGTTGGTCGTATGAAATGCCGTTCTGATTTCTCTCTCTCTCTCTGCGTGTGTGTGCGCGCACGCGCGCGCGTGAAAGACGAGAGATATTTACCTCCGAAGCGCCCCTTATTTCTCTCTCTCTCCCTCCGCGCTGCCAGGAGAAAAGATACTTTGAGCGGGTGGAGGTTCTTAAACGTCTGACAACAAGATAAACGCTTGCGATTTCGGTCAATGAAGCATACCGGCCTCCCGATAAGGCCAGTTTGTCAGTGACACTCGGCCTTTTCAGCTCAACTTGCAACTGGCATTTAGTGGTAGTATTGATCGAGCAAGTCCAGGCTGACAAAACACAGCTCTCCTGTGAGAATGTCACCGTCATTGGCTGCTCTCTGTGAAATCAAGTCATTGCTTGCAATGAAACACGCACGTACGAGTGAGTGGGTTTACGTGGGAGGTGGGGGCGGGGTGCGAGGGGTAAGACAGCACAGAGTTGCGGTAACGAGTAGGTTTTATTTCCCCCCACTCCCGTTACTCCTAGCTCCGTACGCCTGGGTTGGTGATGTAGAGGTGAGGGGGGTGTGCGGGAGAGAATAATACCGTAAATCTCGCTTCAGTCTGTTTGGTGGCACCATTCGTTGTACGGAACGTGTTTTCTGAACTGTAATAGTAATAATAATGATGATTCTCGCATTTGATATAGACACAGCGCCTTATCAGGTCATCGAGACGTCTCGGAAGCGCTTCACAGAACATACCGTAAAGGGCATTGACTGCGTGTTTTGTGGGCGAGACGCGGCAGCCGGTCGCACACAGCGGTGTCCCACAAACGGTCGTGTCAAACAGTACGTGGAGTGCCTGTAGCTCAGTGGTTAGAGCGCTCGACTCGCAAGCGAGAGGTCTCGGCTCGATTCCCCCGGCAGGGGGGCGAAACCTTGGGCAAGTTTCCTTACTCCATCACGCCCGATGATAATCCCTCCAGAAAAATAAACAATCATAAAATCGGTCGCTTCAATCCACGACTGTTTGTGGGACGCTGCCTGGGCACAATTAACTGAGGCGTTGCGCCCACCAATGCACAGTCACTTCACTTTTACAGTGTATTCGGTGAAGCGCTTTGAGGCGTCTCGAAGACATAATAAGGCTCTACGTCAAATGCAAGGATTATTATTGTTGTTATTGTTGTGGAGCGAGTGACCAAGGGAGAGAGAAACTCCCTTTTCTTCTCCAATAACCCCGCGGGAACGTTAACCTCCGACAATGCAACTACCCCACGCGCACCCCCTCACCCCCACCCCCCCCGGCACTGCATTGGAGCGTCGGCTTAGATAATATGAGTCCAAGTCTCGACGTGGGGGCTTGAACGCACAACCTTCTGACTCAGAGGCGAGAGAGAGAGAGAGAGGGGGGGAGAGGGGGAGAGGTACCAACAGAGCCAGGCTGATTTACAGCTGGGTTTCTGTCATCGGGGGTATCTCCGGCTCCGAGAACTGATGACGTCAGTTGACTGGTGAGGTACGGGCAAGGCTGCTTTGTGATGTGACCCCCATCACTGTGACCTCACCTGCTCCCTCCACCTACGGTGCCACGGCTGGTCGCCAGTCCGGGGGGGGGCAGCATGGAGGCTGAGATATGGACTCTACCCAATGTGTCTCCGCTCTCGAGGAAAGCTTTCTCCCAGCGTCACCGCAGCCTCTGAAGGTAAACCAGCCGCGGTTCTTCGAGTTAGCCTTGATCGGGGTTGTCAGTCGATTGGCGGATCGCTTTTCCGTGGGGGGGGGGGGAGAGGGAGGTATTAATAATTCCTTTGAAAAAAATAACGATAATAATAATAGTAGACAGGTCGCTCAATCCACGACAGGTCTGTGGGACGCTGCTGTGCGCAATCGGCTGCCGCGTTTCGCCCGCCAAACTATACAAATGTTTTGCGTACAAATATTAATCCTGCGCCTCCGCCCCACACACACCACCCCCCCCCACACCACCCCGTCACCGCCCGCAACAAAAACAGGTCACTATTATGTCAAGCCGGGACTATCCTCTGCGTCCGTGCCTCTCAATCCATCCGATGATGCTGCCCTGCCGCGGAGCGAATACGCTTCGGCTTAAAGCGCCACGGGCTACGGTAATGCCACGGGCCGTCAGTAAACGCAGACGGGGGTGGGAGGGGAGGGGAGGGGAGGGGAGGGGGTGGTGGTTGTGTTAGTCGACCGGGTGTCTGGCATGTGCGGAAACAACCCATCGCCGATGCTTCTGAGTCGAGTATCCAAATATAATCCTTGCATTTGATGCAGCGCCTTATCACGCTGTTGAGACATCTTCACAGCGCTCCACGCAGGGTATACTCTCGAGTGGATTGACTGCGTATTTTGAGGGCAAATCAGTCTTGAGAGTTCCATATATGTGGGTCACCTACACAGGGAAATACACAGGGAAATTTCCCTGTGTCCCGAATGCGTGGAGTGGAGTGCGCACTCTCTCTCTCCCTCCGAGGAGGAACGCACCCTTTACTTACCTACTTCCAGAGAGCACACATGTTAGTGTCAGGTTGTTGAGCCAAAGGGGGAATTAATCTCATTTGCATTCTATCTCGAGGCTTTCATTTCAGCCTCTTGATCACTTGCCCAACGTTCCCACTCCATATTAAATAGCTTTCGTGCACTGATACAATCTTAAAAAGCATTGCACGTTCTAAGGCACAGAAGTGTGTGGGTGTGTAAACGCTGGTGTTATCTCCCTCTCGCA